GGATCACGAGGTCAGGAGATCAAGACCATCCTGGCTAACATGGTGAAACCCCATCTCTACTAAAAATACATAAAAAATTAGCTGGGCATGGTGGCAGGTGCCTGTAGTCCCAGCTATTGGAGAGGCTGAGGCAAGAGAATGGCATGAACCCGGGAGGCGGAGTTTGCAGTGAGCTGAGATTGCACCACTGTACTCCAGCCTGGGCGACAGAGTGAGACTCCATCTCAAAAGTAAATAAATATATAAAAAATAAATGTAACTGTGGGGACAGATGCGGTGGCTCACGCCTGTAACCCCAGCCCTTTTGGGGGCTGAGGCAGGTAGATCACTTGAGCTAAGAAGTTCGAGGCCAGCTTGGCCAACATGACAAAACCCCATCTCTACTGAAAATATAAAAACTTAGCTGGGGGTGGTGGCGCGTGCCTGTAATCCCAGCTGCTCGAGAAGCTAAGGCAGGAGAATTTCTTGAACCCAGAGGTTGCAGTGAGCTGAGATCACGCCACTGCACTCCAGTCTGGGTGACAGAGCGAGACTCTGTCTCAAATTAAAAAATAAAATAAGGGCCAGGCGTGGTGGCTCAAACCTGTAATCTCAGCACTTTGGGAGGCCGAGACGGGAGAATCACGAGGTCAGGAGATCGAGACCATCCTGGCTAACATGGTGAAACCCCGTCTCTACTAAAAAATACAAAATACTAGCTGGGCGAGGTGACGGGCGCCTGTAGTCCCAGCTACTCGGGAGGCTAAGGCAGGAGAATGGCGTAAACCCGGGAGGCGGAGCTTGCAGTGAGCTGAGATCCGACCACTGCACTCCAGCCTGGGCGACAGAGCAAGACTCCGTCTCAAAAAAAATAAATACATAAATACATAAATTAATTAATTAAATTAAATTAAATTAAATAAGGCTGGGTGCGGTGGCTCATGCCTGTAATCCTAGCACTTTGGGAGGTCAAGGTGGGCAGATCACGAGGTCAGGAGAACAAGACCATCCTGGCTAACACAGTGAAACCCCATCTCTACCAAAACTACAAAAAATTAGCCAGGTGTGGTGGCGGGCACCTGTAGTCCCAGCTACTCGGGAGGCTGAGGCAGGAGAATGGCGTGAACTCAGGGGGCGGAGCTTGCAGTGAACCGAGATGGCGCCACCGCACTCCAACCTGGGTGACAGAGCGAGATTCCATCTCAAAAAATATATAAATAAAATAAAATAAAATAAAAGTAACTGTGGTTATAATTAGTAGCTGGAACAGCAGCCTCTGTGTGTCTGACTTATCAGAGGCTATAACCAGGTCCCCTTCTGTTTCTGAGCCTCAGTTTCCCTTCTGGAAAATGGGTTGATTTTCCAAGGCCCTTGCAGCGGGGACCTTCACAGACTGTCCCCAACCTTTGCTGAGTGAATGCCTCCCTGACCGGGTGTGGGAGAGGGGGCACCCACCTTCTTGTCCTTCTCCTTGGCCTTGTCCAGAGCCTCCTGGGCCCGGCTCTGGGCCTGGCGAGCCCTTTCCGCCTCGGTCCGCAGCCCCCGTAGCTGCTGCTCTGCTGTGGCCAGCTGCGCCTCGGCGGCGTGTCGCTCACTCTTCATGAACAGGGCCTCACGCTGCACCTGCGGCCCAAGCCCACGCGTGACTCTCAGGACACTAAAGACTCCAATGATGCTAGACCCCAGAATTCATATGGCCCTTCTACTTTGTTTTTGTATTTTTGGATTTTTTTAAAGACAGGGTCTTGCTCTGTTGCTCCAGAGCTGCAGTCCTGGCTGGAGTGCAGTGGTGCGATCATAGCTGACTGTAGCCTCAATCTTTCAGGCTCAAGGGATCCTTCCACCTCGGCCTTCCAAGTAGCTGGGACCACAGGTGCATGCCACCACGCCCGGTGGGGGCTGAGGACCTCTCTGCAGCCGCAGGAAAAGGCCAGGGATAAAGGCCTTCGAGGGAAGGTCCCGTCCCAGGCAAACTCTGGCCTGAGTGCCACGTCTGGCCCACAGCCTGTTTTAATTTTATTTATTTATTTACTTATTTATTTCTATTTTAGATGCTTATGGTTACCAGCACAGCCTGTTTTTATACAACCCACAAGCTAAAACTGGTTTTCACGTTTTTTGTTTTTGTCTTTTTTTTTTTTTTGAGATAGAGTCTCGCTCTGTCACCCAGGCTGCAGTGCAGTGCAGTGGTGTGATCTCCGCTCACTGCAACCTCCGCCTCCCAGGTTCAAGCAATTCTTCTGCCTCAGCCTCCTGAGTAGCTGGGACTACAGGTGCCCATTACCACATCTGGCTAATGGTTATATTTTTAGTAGAGACGGGTTTTCGCCATGTTGGCCAGGTTGGTCTCGAACTCCTGACCTCAGGTGATCCACTTGCCTCGGCCTCCCAAAGTGCTGGGATTACAGGCGTGAGCCACTGTGCCCGGCCAAGTTCTTAACTTAGTAGTAGCTGTGATCCTCCACAGAGAGTCTGTTTAAACTGTGCCTGGTCAACAGTAGGCACTCAATAAATGCAGGGCCTTATTATTACTATACATCAGGGGTTTTCAACTTGAGGCAATTCTGCCCCCCAAGGGGACACTGGGTGTTGTGTGAGGACAACACGACCTGGAGGAGCTCTTGGCATGGAGTGGGTGGAGGTCAGGGATGCTGCTCAGTCCCCTCCAATGTCCAGGACAGCCCCAGCCCAGGAAACGATCCTGCCTCGACGTCCACAGTGCGCAGGGGAAGAAACCAGGCTATAGATAAACCATCATCCTAACTGCAATTTTGCCCTCTGTTTAGAGGCGGAAACTGAAGCTCAGAGAGGTGAAGTGTCTGGTCTAAGGTCACACAGTGAGTCGAGGCTGGATCATTCTTTATGCTGAAGCGCCTGGGACTCTGGGTGTCTCATCTCCTGTCCAGTGACATGTTGCATGATTTTGAGCCACTAACTTCATCTCTTAAAGATTCAGTTTGCTCATCTGGAAAATGGGGACAAAAATACTTTCTGAAACCAGGTGCAGTGGCTCACGTCTGTCATCCTACCACTTTGGGAGGCTGAGGCAGACAGATCACATGAGCTGAAGAGTTTGAGACCAACCTGGGCAATATGGCGTTTGAAACCCTGTCTCTTACCAAAAAAAAACAAAAACAAAAAAACAAAAACAAAAACAAAACAGGCGGCTCACGCCTGTAATCCCAGCACTTTGGGAGGCTGAATCACCTGAGGTCAGGAGTTTGAGACCAGCCTGACTAACATGGTAAAACCCGGTCTCTACTAAAAATACAAAAATTAGCTGGGTGTGGTGGCACGTGCCTGTAATCCCAGCTACTCAGGAGGCTGAGGCAGGAGAATCTCTTGAACCCAGGAGGCGAGGTTGCAGTGAGCCGAGATCGCGCCACTGCACTTCAGCCTGAGCGACAGAGTGAAACTTTCTCTCAAAAAAAGAAACAAAAAAATTAGCCAGGTGTGGTGGCACACACCTGTAGTCCCGGCTACTCAGGAGGCTGAGGCAGGAGGATCGCTTGAACCCAGGAGGTCAAGGGTCCAATGAGCTGAGATTGTGCCACTGCACTCCAGCCTGGGTGACAAAGTGAGACTCTGTCTCGAAAAAAAAAAAAAAGCTTTCTGGCTTTTAGAGTTGCAGGAAGATTAAAAATGGTAACGTGTGAGGCTGGGCACGGTGGCTCACGCCTGTAATCCGGCACTCTGGGAGGCCGAGGCGGGTGGATCACGAGGTCAGGAGATCAAGACCATCCTGGCTAACATGGTGAAACCCCATCTCTACTAAAAATACATAAAAAATTAG